CTGAATTGCACAAATTCAGGTAGAGTTAAGAACCCAAAACATGGAGTCAGAGTGTCTAGACTTGAGTCTTACTTTGTTCACTACTACTTTTTTAACCTTGAGCATATTGCTAATGTTTTTATACCTCATTTTGACCAAACTGTTCAATGGGGATCATCATAATGTCTATCTCTTTTTTAAATTGTATTTTTGGTATCTTTAAGTAGCTGTATAAAGAGGTACTTAACTCTTCATGTTGTGGTACGGAACACGTAAGTTAGTAAGTACAGAAAACCTAAGACAGAGCCTTACATATCAATTATTTAATAAACAAAATGAGAATGCAAGGTGACCTCTCTAAGCATTATTATGCAAGTTATCTAACTTCCTTAAAACTTTTAGAATATTATCTTGTATCACAAGGTTATTGTGCTAACTAACTTACTTAATAAAACTGTGTAATGAGTGTTTAGTAAAAATGTATTTCCTCCCATTCTTCTACTGATGCATTTAGAGTTCCTTTCCTTTTAAACAAAAAGTTATTTTTTAATGGTGGACAAATAGAGTCATAATGCTCAATGTACATGTGCAAAAAAGGATGTGGAGAGCTTGATGTGACTGGTGGAGAAGGACAGGTGGGAAGAGAAAGGAAAGTTATGGAAGGGATAAGTCTGAGCAAAAGTCATTTTATTTCTTTTCATTTTGTAAAGAGCCCATAATTCAGAGACACTGAGAGTCTAAAATGAAAGAAGTCTACAAAAGAAGAGGGAAGGAAAATAGCAAAATACTGAATGAAATAAGGATACAGGTTGACCCATTCTAACAATGAGATGTATGAGACAGCATGTTGAAAACAAACTTTGCAGGGGGAGGGAGGAGTTGGGGAGGTGAGGAGAGAAGAGATGATAGGAGAAAAACAAAGGAGGGGGTAACAATGCTTGATGGGAAATGTACTCATTACCTTCCTCATGTAACTGTAGCCCCTCTGCACAGTATCCTTACAATAAATGTATATATATATTTAAAATCTCCCCTCTGGGTATTTATAAAAGAAGAGAAAATAAAGACTATAAAGTAAAAAAAAGAAGAAGAAGAAAAGATACTACTAGTCTAAGGTTATTCCCTTGAATAGACAACATTTGGCATAAATACCCTGCCTTTTAAAGTGGAAATGACAGAAGATCTGGATCCAAACGTCCTTGGGCTTCAGTATCATCTTTCTTATCTACTAGCTTCATGACTTAGGGCATTCCACTTAACCATCCCCAGCCTTGGCAAAGTGCTTATTATAAATATTTGAAACAAAGTCAATTCTCAGTACAGTGATAGTTGACAACATTTAGGTAATAAACATTGAATTCATAAAGTATATGATATGTCTTATGTCTTATTGTGTCTAACTTAATGCATACTATTTGTTGACTTTCTGATTGGGTCATTTGTATTCTAAAACTGTCACAGCAGGTATTTGATCAGTGGCTTACACATAATTAGTAAACACATAATAAATGTTATGAAAAAGTGCTATGGATCAAACTGGTATGTATCATATTGATTATTGGTTTAATAAATGGTTGTCTTTATTGTGCTACTTTGATGAGTAATGAAAATGTATGTCCAGAATAGTGGCTGGTACTTAGTAACTTGGTTATTTCTTACTCAGAGACAATTTGTCTAGATGCACATCCATAAACTCAGGATAGTTTTACCCGGGTTTAAAAAAAAATAAAAACAGGAAGGGGAAAAACAAAGGGGAAGGCAACAATGCTTGATAAGAAATGTGCTTATAAAAAAAGAAAGAAAGAAATGAGCTTATTACCTTGCTCATGTGATTGTAACCCTTCTGTACAGTATTTTCATAATAAAAAAACTTATTAACAAAACAGGAAAGTAACTAGAAGAAAAATGATCACAAATTCCACGAGGGACATAAGAAGTATCAACTTTGGCTGTGCCAGCTCCAAGTCATGCTGGAGGGGCAAATTCATGATACGGAGTCCTCAGGAACCAGGAGTCTTCATACAGAAAAAACTCAGAGCAGAAAGACCATAGGAGGAAACAGTAACTGGTTTGAATGAGACCTGGTCAAACCACATTATATCCATGTATAGAAATATCACAATTATACGAGTAATATGTGCCCTTCAAAAAGAAAATACCTTATGTGTGCATTCAAAAGAAATGTTCTAAGGATGTTGTCCTTAAGGATAGACAAAGTCATCAGTCTTAGAATGTATGAAAAGGATTTATGATTATTCTCTCTCTTCCTCCCGCTCTGCAAATGTATTGTTCTATTTTTCTCTGGTATGTGAATGACAATTCTTAGTACCTTATAAACAGTAGATGATTTCCTCACTATGGCACAGAAAGAGCTGAAAACATAACCCATCCCTCCCCTGTATTATGGTAAGGCAAAACACACTCTCTGCTTGCTAATTCCATGAAAAGGGATCCACTGTGGCTGGGAAAACAGCATAAATCGAAGAGCTAGTCCCTACATTCAGTATGAGACCCACAATCCTGGCTGCCATCCATCATAGCTTATTCCATCCTCCGGTCTCATTGAGGGATCAGACTGCATCACTGTTCCTATTTTAATTTTAGGTTTCAATTTTAGTTTTATATCCTGTAGAAAAAGTCACTTTATCATTATATTTAGTGATTTTTCTTTAGTTTTTGCATTTCTGTGTGATGAGAGATGTGTGTCTTCTGTGATTAAAATCATGTAGTGCCTCGTGGCTGTGTTATACATCATCACAATAAATATTTCAACAGTAGTCATTGTTACATTCTCTTAATTAATCCACATTATAAAATCACGTGACTGAAGATGGGTCCAATAGATGTTTTAGGTAGCAGAATGATAGCTGGTTTACTAATAGAGAGCTGGAATTGGTTTGTGGGGGCTATTCAGAAATGTTAAAACAAATCTTTAGCAGGTGCTGGTAGATCACACTTATAATCCTAGTTAGTTAGGAGTCTGAGATCTCAGAATTGCACTTTGAAGCCAGCTCAGGCAGAAAAGTCATGAGACTCTTATAACTGATTAACCAGCAAAGGAAAAAGAACTGGAAGTGATGCAGTGGCTCACGTGGTAAGGTACTAGCCTTGAGGATAAAATCTCAGAGACAGTACCCAAGCCTTGAGTTCAGCCCCAGGACCAGCACAGGGGGAAAAAAATACAGTGTTGTGTTTACTTTTTTATCACCTTGAAGCTAGAATAAATCTTGTGATGTGGAGAATGATATGTGGAAATTAGTGTGCTAACAGGTTTTAACAGGATCTAGTGCACAGTGAGACCACTAACGGTGATGGTAATATGATCCTACTTGGAGTCTAGCCACTGGGGCCTGACTAATGGTAGAGGAAGATGAAGATCTGGAAGTATTTCCCTCTACCTGTTTTACGAGTAACATTGCTAAAAGATCTGAAGTGTACAGAAGAGAATTGGTAGGCTGGGACACTACAGATGACTTTCACTGAGACACAGAAAATATAAGATATGGAGCAGGAATGGATGAGGGAAAAAGTGATGGACTGACTATATTTGGAAATTCTGAACCAGAGACACCCCTAGGTGTCTTCCCAGAGAGAAGGCCAGTGTGCTAGGAAAAGTACTAAAGTACAATGACATTAAGGGATTTACGAAGTATAGAACTGTAGAAGAGCTGTGACTACAAATAAATGTGGTAAACTCTCTGAGAGATTAATAGTCTAATATACCAACTACTACTAGATATAGTATATACCATATTACTAAATATATACTAATATATACTAATATGTAAAATGCTACTAAGTATAATATACTAAGCACTACTCTATTAGGGAATGAGTTAACTCAAGGGAAACATCACCAAGAAACATAATCCTGTAAATAAAATTTGGTAGAATGTTATGTTTGGAAGATGAGGAATGAGAACAGAAGTACATTTATTATGGAAAAAGAGATACTTGCAAGAAATCAGAGACTAAAAATCAGAAATAATTTTCAAGTTTTTAGATACTCATAAGGCAGAAGAATCAAGCTGTGTGCATTCTAGTAGTGGGGCTTGAACTCAGGGCCTCATACTTTTTGACTTTTTCACTCAAGGCTGGAGCTCTATTAGGTTAAGCTACTTCCCCATTTCTGGCTTGTGTTTTGTTGCTGTTTTTCATTGGAAATAAGAGTCTCATGGAATAAGGCACTATGCTCAAAAATGATCTTTACCATGTCAGCGGAGACAAGTTAGGGAGGTGGAGAAGGAAAGGATAGTAGGAAAAAAAAAACAAAAGAGGGAGTAACAATGTTCAACAAGAAATGTACTCATTACCTTACTCATGTAACTGTAACCCCTATGTACAACATCTTTACAATAAAATAAAATAATCCCATGGATTTGTCTGCCTGGGCTGGCTTCAAATCACAATCCTCAAATCTCAATTTCCTGAGTAGCAGGAATTACACAAGTATGCCACTGGCACCTGGCAGAATAAAGTATTTTACAGGATTTAAAAAAAAAATAGAAGGGGAGAATGATCTTCAGAGGATGGAAGCTAACCTCGCAGACCAGGATTCTTACATAGATAGAACCAAAGAAGAACTCTAGTTCAGAGATTGTCCCTATAACCAGAGAAACCCAAACACAAAACTGTGCCTTTAAGAGGCCGTAAGGAAAGCATGGCTTTGGGGGGTGATCAACAGCTAGGATTCCTTCATGGCTACTCTGGAAGAAAGTAGGACTGACTCATGGTGGGTTGCTGATTGAACAGGAGTAATAATAACAAGTTTCTGTTGGTAGGGATAGGAGAATAGGCAGAGACCATTTCTAAAACCACATAACATGATCAATACCTCCCCATTGAAGTTTCCCTTCATCTACTCACCCTCAAACTGACTACACACACGAGGATTCCAAGCAATCTTTTTTTAATGTAGAACAGTCTTGGGCATTGACAGAGGGAGGAATTCCTAAATAAGTGAATTCTCCCTCCTCCCTTTCCCCTCTCTCTTCATGGATTGGTGCACTGTGAGCACAGCCCTAAACCAGTGGCACCCTTAGAAGCCTGTCTATGGCAGCATGGATGTCTCCATCTGTGGCGATGAGGGCCTGCAGGTTCGCATCATGATCCGCAAAACCCAGGGCCTTCAGCTGCTCCAGTTCTTGTTGGTAGCGACTTTCAGTAAAGAGGGATGGAGGGGATGAAGATTGGGTAGACTGGGAACAGGCATTGGCCAGTGCATGGAGGAGCTGGAGAACCGCCAGTGTGGGTTGTGCATGGTCTTCTCCATGACCTTGTCTTCTACCCCTGGTTTCTGGGACTCCTCTAGCCACACGTGGTCTAGCTGGGTCTCGGAAGAATGGTCCCAGTCCCGGTACCTCCTTGGACAGTATCTGTAGGCCTTGCTCTATCTGTATCAATGCCTGCAGTGCTCGTGGGTTGGTGAGAATAGGAAGAAGCGGAATATGACATAGCAGGGGGCTGCCGGTGGCCAGCTGGTGTAACAGAGATGGATTCCGCTGCAGGACGTGCAAGGCTCGGCGCAGAACAGAGGGTGAGAGTTTCTGCTGACTGGCTTTCTCTATGGGTTGCTGGCTGTCCTGGGAGGGAAAATCTTGCCCCGGGTGTAAGTCTGGCATACCAATTTTGCACCCCGAACTGACCTGATTTGGGGCTATGCCCCTGACATGGGCACCTCCTCCTGTACTGACCTCTTGTACCAATGGCTTGGTAGGTGCAAAGGTGGTGGTGGTGGTGGTGGTAGTATCCGAATTGCTTTGACCATTGGCTTCTCCTCTGTAAGATTCAGAACCTGAAACGTAGCCTTTGGAGGCAACCAATAGGGCCAGAGGGGAGAACATGAGCTGCTGGATGTCAGAGCAGATTGGGTGCATAGCATTATCACCACCTGGCACTGCCTTTAAAGAGTCCAGGCTCTGCTTTTCTTCCTGCAGTAGCTCGTGTTGTCTGACTGGCTTCTGAAAGGTTTCCAGAGTCTTGAGAGCTGGGTCACGTTTCTGCACAGGTCTTGAAGGTTCAGGAACGTGGCTGCCATTGGCCAGTTTCTCACCTGCCAGGCCTTGAATTAAAGGGTCTTCCAAGAACTGCACCAAAGACTCTGGTGCCATCATCAGCAAAGGAGCCAGCTGGCAGAAGACATCAGCTAGATCGGGGAAGTTCCGGGCCAGCCGGCCCAGCCTTGTTGGAATCCCCGCACTCTCAGAGGCTGGTGGTTCAGAACGATGGGCGCAGTGGGCTGTAGGGCCTGGCAGTGTTCCCGGACAGGATGGCCCTTTCAAACGAGACCTCACCACCAGGTGAACTGTAGAGCCATCCAGGATGCCACGCTGGCTCAGGATGTCTTGATCACGGAGGATCTTTCCAGTGAAGATGAGAACCAGTCGGTCAGGGTCACAGTGTAAGCGTTTGGCAATCTGCTTCTTAAAGTGGCAAACACTGCTATTTTCTGCCAGCAAAAAATCCTGATAGTCCTGTGGGGTCTTGACAGACACTCGGATGGTATGTGATGATGTCTCCCGACCAGATACCAGCTGGCCATCCCCTGCTTCTTCCCTAGCCCGTGCCATCCTTCCTTGCAAACAGAAGGCTGGGTTATCTGAGGGGTACTGTGGAGCACAAACCTGTAGAAGCCTAGCTGTGGCACTGAGCACACCTGGGTGCAGGGACCCGTGGGTTTCCAACGATGTCTTTTCACCCACGTCCCGCAGATGCCACCTCCCAGTGTAGCCCTGCAGCCACCTGGCTCCCATAAGAGGGGGCAGCTTGCTCCTGCCTTAGACCAGCCTTTGGGGGTATGATGTCAGTAGTGAGGTCATAGTTAGAAGTCAGGCCTGAGTGGGGGGAAGGGCAGAAGTTTTACCACCTGCTTGGGGTTAGGCTGTCTTCATGATTTGGTTTAAGCAACAGTAGAAAAATGTCGCCACTGTCTTAGAAACCTTTTGCATACCAGTTTGTTCCACCAGTTGAAAATCCTCATGTTTGTGTTTGATAAATGTTTGAATATGGTGGAGTCGGAAAGGGACTAATCTGAGCATTCAGAAGTACTGATGCCAGTCACGAAGCCTTCAATAAATCACTGTAGACTGAACTACAGTTCAGCCAAATCGTCAAGTCCCTGTTTCTGTCAGAACAACCTGTAGATGTGTATAATGAGTCCATACAGTCTCAAAGGGGTCTATAGGTAGCTTGTACCCTGAGGTCCTCCCGGCTGAATAATCTACCTCCATAGTTTTAAAATATCATCATATTCCCAAAGAACTTGCCAGCCAGGTTGCTCTCAGAGGGATTCTATCATCTCAACTCAGAGGAAGAAGACTGAGACCAGAGAAATCAGAAGAAGGTAACCGTTTAAATCTAGGCCAGTATGATTTAACAACTCCTAAAGATGGTAACATCTTTAGGAAGAAGACTTCACTTGGTAGGAGATATATTTTTCATTGTAAAAGATAGTCTCTAAAGCACTGTTCAGGCAACTGAAGGCCTGGGCTAATTATTTCTCACAGTGAGAATGGATGCATCAGGCTATCTAGGTTTGTATCCATTTATGATTGCTGTTAAGGTACTTGATCCTTTTTTTCTGATTCTGAAAGTTCCAAAGATTATAAAATCAGAATTTTGATATTTAGAATGCCACCTCAAACAACACAAACAAAACATGAGTGTCACAAGCATCTAGATCTTTCTATGCTATTACACACTGATACATGTTCTTAAACTTTGATTAGTTTGCATGAGTATTTCCAGTGTCCAGCCTACATCAAGACTGGCCAAGTTGTCATTTCTAAGGTAGAAGTTCCCACTCCCCGGAACTTTTGTAGCTGGGCCCCTCCTTGTGTACAGACATGAGGGCAGCATCTTCCAGGTAAGTATTCCTGCATAACCAGCACTTTTAGAGGTTCTCTTTGGATGGCCCTCCACAGAATCAAATCCTCAAATTAGTATCTGGCTTTCTTTCAGGAAGTACAATAACAGGTGTCAAGTTCAGGAATAGTCTAGGTCTTTGTTCATGATATAGGGTGTCTTTGTTCATGACATAGATTGTTTTACAATTTCCTTTCTGAAAATATTTTTTACTGATTTTGTTATTAAACTTATTCTGGCTTCATAAAGTGAAAAAAAGATTTTGTTCACCTTGTTACAGCTAGTAATTGTTCTTAAAAGCAAAACAAAAAATATAATCACCTTTTAATTTTTCTAGGTATTATTTGTCCCTTTTAATAAACTCTAAGGTGAACCACCCATCAGACACCTTTGCTAAATGGCTGTGTTGTCAGAGCCTGAATAACTAAAAAGGAGCAGGTGATCTGATAGAAATGAATAAACCATCTTGACCATCTTTAATTTGATGTCCTTGTTAGATTTCATGGATGCCTGTTCAAGCTGTAGATGCAGACCTGCTGTTCCTTAGCATGGACAGACCTTGTAGAAAACCACAGAATCACAGCAACTAAGGCCACAGCCTAGCCAAATTTATTATTAATTTCATATTATAAATTCATAAAAACAGAATTACTCTTGAATCGATGAGCAGTTTCAGGCTTATTTAACATCTTAAAGTGTCTTTGGAGTGACTCTGGATCATATCTCTACATTAAAGCAAAACAGAAAGCTGGACACAGTGGCTCTCACCTGTAATCCTAGATACATAGGAGACTGAGAGCTGAGGACTATGGTTCCAAGCCAGCCCAGGCAGGAAAAGCCTGTGAGACTCTCATCCCCAATTAACCACCAAAAAGCCATAAGTGGAGCTGTGGTCCAAGTGGTAGAGTGCTAGCCTTGAGCAAAATAGCTCAGGGACAGATGCTAAGGCCCTGAGTTCAAGCCTCAGGACCAGCACACACAAATACACAAACAAAAAGCAGAATAGAAAGGCACTGGGGACAATGTCATACACAGAAACTAAGGAGGCTTCATTCAGAAGGCCTACAATTTGCACAGTTGTGCCTTCTTAGCACCTAACCTAATATTGAATTTTCAATATCCTATTCTATCCTTTCAATAGAGCACTTTCTTGAGAAGTTCAAATTCTACTATGTCCCATGGCAAATGAGCAAGTTTAAAAGATTTTTTTTAATGGAGGTGGAATGGGACTAATTACCCTTTGCTTAGGCAAACTGTCCCAGGGGTTCCCTTCCTCCTCCCACTTTCTTCTTATCAGTCAGAAACAGAAACTAAATGCCACAGTTTGAAAAGGCTAAAAGTCTAAAATAGGAAGGAAAAAAAGTTGGTGAAGTCATGCATGGGAGGACATTTGCTTTGGCTGATTGTAAATGATAAGAAGAATGATAAGAAGAAAAACACAGAGTGAGGGAAGGGGTAACACTGTCGTAGAAATGTGCTCTTTACCTGACTTATGTAACTGTAACCCCTCTGTACATCACCTTTATGATAACAATAAAAAATTTAAGAAAGAAGAAAAAGCAAATCTTATAATACCTAGAAAATGCCTAGCATAGGGCTGGGAAGGTGGCTCAGTGGTAGAGTGCTTGCCTTGCATGCATGAGGCAGGCCCTGGGTTCGATTCTTCAGTACCACATAAACAGAAAAGCCGGAAGTGGTGCTGTGGCTCAAGTGGTAGAGTGCTAGCTTTGAGGTAAAGAGCTGAGGGACAGCACCCAGGCCCAGAGTTCAGGCCCCATGACTGACCAAAAAAAAAAAAAAAAAGAAAAGAAAAGAAAATGCCTAGCATAGCAAGCGTAATACATTATTACTTAGTGACATTAACTCCTAGTTTTGGGAAGAAAATCAAAGGTGAATAAATTATGTGTGAATGTGTGGTGCCTTAAAACAAACATATAATAAATTGTGCAAATGTACACATAATGTATAACTAAACTAAAACAAAGTCTTCAGCATTGAACAGAACATGGTAGCCAACTCTGTAAGAGTTAAATATATACTAGTTGCTGCCTAAATATACTTGGTAGCTTCTTTTTAAAAAAAAAAAGATTTTGTTATTAGCATGAACTAGTTATACAAGGGAGGTGGTTGCTATGACATTTCCATATATGTGTACAATGTACCTACATCCAAATTATCCTATATAGCATTCTTCCTATTCTCCTTTCTCTATCTTAAAGCAATTTCAACAAGTTACATTGTTCTATTTTCATATACAACACTACAGTCCTATTTATCCTCACTCCCCTTCCAAAATTGGTAGTTTTAATTAACATCAGGCATCAAGTATAAGAGCCTTAGTGGATAGAGAACCAGAATTATGAGTATAACAATCCATCTGAAAGTGGCTCATCAGTTTTATTTAGGGCTAAGAACAGGCAAACATTTTCTGTTAAATGAAGAAGCGATGAGGACAATCACCCCTTCATTAGTTAAATTTTATCTGTCAATCACCTGAAACCCCTGTTTCATATTAGGTCTGTTAATTATTTTAACTGGGGGCTAACAGAATTTTATCTGACTTAGTCAGTTTGTAAGTTGCCAAGTTGATTTTAATCTCTGTTTTGTATTGCATTAGGGTATCTATTCTCAACCAAAATATTTTATTGTAAGGGATTCTATGGCCATGCAAAATTTAGGCAGGGCTACAGTTTGTGTGAGGCATACATATTTTTCTTTTTTTATGTCTACTTTCCCACGTAGGATTATAATAGACACAAACTTTAAATTTATACCCATCTAAAAGCAAATTTACCTCCATCTTATTGACTAATATTGACTAATTCTTATTGACTAAGATTTTGCAGTTTGTCAATTGGTCCAGTTTAGCAAACATTAAAGTTAACTTGTAACCTATGTTATAAAAGCTAGTTGGTGCCTCTTTTGTCATTTTTTATCATGCAAAAATCTTTTTGTATATAAATTTACAATATGAAGTTTGAATTCCCAGTTGCATCAAATTATGAAACTGTTTTTCTCAGTTCTCCTATTGCACTTAATTTTATAATCAAGACAGTTCCTGTCAAGACCGAATCTCAAATTTGCTTTCCTCTCAAGCCCTCTCTCTGTTTTGATAGGATGATCATTCAGCCAGTTGTTCAAGCTGGAAACCAGCAATTGTCTTTATTCTGTGCTTTTCCTTGGGCCTCAAAAGAAATCCTGAATCTACCCACTTCCATTCTGTCTACATAGAATCAAAACAAGATCTGTCTGAAATAAGAACTCTTGCCGTTAATGGTAACAATATGACTGACTGACCACAACAGTATCCACTCAGAATATACAGTTTTTTTTTAAAAAAATCTACTCAAGGGCTGGGAAGGTGGCTCAGTGGTAGAGTGCTTGTCTCTCATGCATAAGGCCTTGGGTTCAATTCCTCAGCTGGAAGTGGCACTGGTGGCTCAAGTGGTAGAGCACTAGCCTTGAGCTGAAGAGCTGAGGGATAGCACCCAGGCCCACAGTACAAGACCCATGACAGACAAAAAAAATCTACTGAAAATAGTAACCATTAAAATGAAATTTTCCAATATAGCCAAATAGGTAGTTACAACACTTCATAGAGAACAAAAGAAACTGGAATAAATGACAACATTCCCTGTCCAAAGAGGAAGAACTTGTAATTACTCTTCAAGTCTTCTCAAATCTGTACGTGTAATGGAAAGGCAAT